TTCCACCAAAAATAAATAAATAAACTCAGCATACAAAATGCTATAGCTTTAAATAAAATAAAATATGCCAATTGGGGCTGGGGAGATAGCTCAGTGGCATAAGAGCGTCTGCCTGGCAAATGCAAGGTCCTGAGTTCGATCCTTGGTACCATGCACACACACACAAAAAGTCCAAAAACTTGTAAATGCCCCAAAGCTAACCCAGAGGGCATTGAGGGGGAGAAAACCAAAAGCTATACAGCTGAATTATGTGACAGGATACCGGAGATTACAAAACACATTGATTAATAAGGTGCTGTGATTTCAAAGAAGAGTGAGATAATAGACTTAATAAAATGATCAGTAAGTTCACAGAAGACACTAATAAAAAGCTAATTGAGCTAAACAAAACAATACAAAATATGAATGACCACTTTGCAAAGAATTAAGAGTTTATGAAGAGGTATCAAACAAAATGCCAGGAGATTAATAATTCTACTGAAAGTATGGGGAGCAGAAGTGACCAATGTTGAGGACATTGTGTCAAAAGCAGAAGAAAAGGCTGATACCAGTCAGTGACCAGCTACTCAGAGAAACAAAAAGAGAACATGAAATAGAGCTAATAGCTGCTAGATGGTACAAAGAATAATCTAAGCTCAATTGGAATTAGTGAAAAATCAGAAGACAGCACAAATGGTATTTTTAAAAACCCTGTTTATAGAAATAACAACAGAGTCAGGTATGGTGGCACATGCCTATAATACCAAAACTAAGGAGGCTGAGGCAGGAAGGAGGAGGCTGTGAGTTCTGGACCAGCCTGGGTATACATATTGAGACCCTGTCTTAAAAAAGAAAGATTTTGGACATGGTGGCACATAACAGAAAACTTTTCAAATAGGAGGAAAGAATTCAACACAGAGATAGGTGAGGGATATAGAACCTGAACAGTCATGATCAAGAAACTCTCCACTGTATCTCACAGTAAGATCCCAGAAGTCCAACACAAAGACAGAAGTTAAGAGCTGTTAGAGAAAAGCAACTACTCACTTATAAAGGTAAACCCATTAGAATTACAGCATATTTCTCAACCTTAAAAGCCAAAAGAGCTTGAGTGAAGTGATTCAAGCCCTAAAAGAAAACAACTTATGACCTGGACTGTTACATATAACCTTTAAAACTATGCTTCAAAATTGATAGAGAGGG